AGATAGCTGAAGGATGGAAAAATGAACAGGAGGAAAAGAATGTATGGTTCCTTATCATCTTTTTTTAGAAAAAGATGGCAGGTCTTCTCAGGCAGTGCACGTGGAAAGGGAGTTCAGGAACTCCCTGGGAGTCTTGCTAGGACTGTTACCTAGGTTGTGATTATTAATTTTTTTCAATTTTCCTTACAAAATGTGTCAGGGGCAGTTGCTGAAACAAAGAGGTAGGGCAGCAGCATCCTCAAACAAAGTGTATTATTATTCTTCATGAGGAAGGTTGTCTGTGACCCCTTGGGTTTTTTCTGTCACCTTGTTTCAGCAGGGAGTGCTGGCTTGCTCAGGGATGATTTCAGTAGATCATACACATTAACCAAGTTCTAAAATACCCCCCTGCACCATACGCTACCTAAAGTGTAATAATCCTTTAATCTGTCCACTGCATGACATCTGGGCAGTTATTTGACATAATAATTCATGTTGATTGTGCATATCAGTGTGTATCAGAGGAGAGAAGTGCCAAAGCAGTGGTGAAGAGATGAGGATTTAGGAAAATGCCCATGGGGCAGTGCCTTGGATCAGGGGAGACCTACCTGCATGTGGCAGGTGACCAACCGGCCACTGATGTGGCTGTGTAAAATGTTTATATGAGAATAATATTATCCTGAGATAAGCACAAAACAAAATAGGAGGGGGAAGATAAACTACCAGGACTCAAGTTACAGAAGCACATTAATATTTACTCGATATCTCTTTATACCCTCTAGTCAGCATGACAGATGTAGCTGTGTTTTAAGACATTATCATTCATTGAAAAAGGCAAAAAAGATAGTCTTTCCCTCCCTCCCATCCCCGGTAATCTCAGATGTTCGCCGTGCGCGCCGGGGGGAGGAGGTGGCGAGCTGAGCGCTGGTGGGAGAAGAATGCAATTATCCCAAAGCCTCCTGACGGGCATCCACTTCTTCCTTCCAGCTTAGCTGCTCTGACCACAGGCTGGGGGCTCGTGGGACATGGACCAGATTGAAAAAGTGGAAGCAGACAGATGGTTATTTGTAATCATCATGTAAATGTAAATCCTATAAAAATGTTTTCTTTCTAAGGGTCTGAAAGCCGTTGTGGTGGAAAGCAGGATTAAGGCACAGATATCTAGCCTAGAATAATTTTGACCCTGCCACCTTCCCTCCTACCCCATAAACGTCGTGGCTTTGTCTCTGCTTCCTTTAAACAAATTGCTGGAGCCGCGGTGGAGGAAATTAATTCAGCTTCCGTGTAATTCCCTGAGTTTACGAGCGAGGCCTGGATTTGGGCCTAAGCTGGCAGGTGCTGGTGAGCAGTTGCCTTGGTAGCGGGGACTTCTTTTTCGCTCATTCCCTCTCACTCTGGCAGGTGTGTGGCCAGCGAGTGTTTGCCTCGGCGCTGCCCTTTGCGAGACGGGCTTGCCTGCCATCATGATGCTTACGGGTACGTGAAAATGGCCGTACAGGACTTTGCATGCCTTAAAGACCGACGAGACAGCTTGCAGACATCTATCTTGTTTGAGAAGCCTCAGCTTGTTCGAGCTACAAAGAGACCGATCAAACTCTAATTAACTTCTTTCCACAGCACCGTTGTAGGCTGCGTGTATGATTTAGCTGTCCTTTCCAGCTCCCCGGTCCCCCGATGCCTTTCCAGACAGTGAGTTGTAGCCATCCAGAAGCTTTTGCCTTTACGAGGCTTTGTCTCTCAAACATGAAGGTGTTTGTGCTGCCCTCAGGCTGGCAGAGGGGAGCAGCTCCAGCTGGGGCAGGCGGGGCAGGACAGGACGCTGGCCATCTTTCTCTTTGGCATCCCGTGTCAAATGTCAGATAATACCCATCCCAAGCACAAAGGGAGCTGCATAACCTATGTTAAAATCAGAATAAAGGGAAATAAGAACACGGGATGAGTTGCCTGATGGCAACGTTTGGCCGCCTGTGATGAATTTTCAAATCGCTAGTATTTATGCCCTGCCAAGAGGGCTCTGAGGAGGGCTGGCTTCTCAAGTGAACATAAGCCTCTTGCCACTGTGTGAAGATAGTGATCCGCTCAGGCACACTGATAGCTATTTGGAAGTACCCAGCAATTGTGGATAATTGGCTGAGGAATATTCTGCAGCTCTCAACCATTTTTCTTGTTTTCACAGATGATTGCGCCATTAGATATGGTGAATGTACTAAGCTGTGCTGTAACTTTTCCACTTACTGTGCTAATAAGTGTGAACTCAACTTCCCAGTTGATGCTCCTTTCTTCTGTGGTTTTCTGTGCTGCTGGAGTTGGACAGCCGAGCTCATCAGCTTGTGCTTGGGTCTCCTTTGCAGGCACCCTTACTCTTCCCTGCTCCTTCTCTCAGTGTGACATTTGGATGTGCTTGGTTGGCTGTGCTGATCAGATCAACATCTGTGCTTTGTATTGTTGTTGTTATATTGCATTAAAGGCACCAAATCACAGGAATGGCAGCCCATGCCCCCTGCTCTTTACCTTGTTTTTCTCTGTGCTTTTATTCTTTCTCTTTGCCTTCCTCTACCTGGCTTTTTGTTTTCACTGTCCTTAGACTTAGTGTTCCCCCTCTTCCTCTCTGAGTTATTTTCTCTCTTTAATTTATATTCCATGCATTTTTCTCTTATCTTTGTCTTTCTGTCCCTGCTGTATTTTTTTCTCTATTTCATTTTTCTCTCACGATTTTTTGTTTTCCTCCAAAACATAGAACGCTTCAGATGGAAATGGCGAGATATATCTATTCAAGATTCACATATGTGTTGAGGTACAGAGCAAGATTAACTAAGCCCTGTAGCATCAATTTTGTCTTCCATTCAAGCCAAATTTGCAGTAAGGCTTGGGTAAAGGAATGTGATAAAATCAAATCACCTCTTAGCCTCACATTCTGTGACTGATTGGAACCTTACACAGTTGCTGAGATGATTCAGAGAAAGTTAATGTAATTTGCTGTATATCATCCCAAGAAACTATATTTGTCAGCTTCATATAGCAGTGTGAAACATTAAAGGAAAATGCTTTCCTTAATATTGTTGCCAGGAGTTAGGAGTCTGGAGTATTAAGTCATTATGTTGTGGGATCTGCTGATTTTCTGGGGATTTTCCACTAAAGTTCTATAATTGTAAAAAGAATCAAGCCAATAAAAAATCAATATTTATTTTGTGTGGAATAATAATGAAAGAAGTTGACATTTATCTATTTGCCAGTTATATGAAAGAGGGCATAGCATTGCTTAGAAGTATTTTTTTTTTTTCTGTGTGTCATAATGATCGCAGACACATATGAAGATCCTTCCTAAACTAGGTGATTTTGTAAGACATTTTTTCTGGTTCTTACTCTGAAATTGCTGTGGTATTAGCTTTCGTGGCTTTGCAAAATGTTGTAGTGCCAAATAGTGAGCAGCCCATGATCTTCAGGGTACTGTTTCTGTGTTGTGCATTGCATAAGTTATTTCTTCCATTTGATCTTGAAACTCTATAAATTCCCTTTCTGACAATTTGATTATTGTGAATCAAAAGTATATGAGTAATTTGTATTAATCAGAAATATTTTGAGGTTGAGTCTTTTGTTATCTGTTGATTCTTTGCCTACTACGTCCTGTCACTTTTATTTTATGCTTTAAGAGCAAGACCTAAATAATTACTCTTTTTTGTGTTAGAAAAGGAATTAACTTCCAATTAATTCCCTCCTTCCTCTGGGATCTACCTGTCTATCCCAAAATGGGGAACAATAAAAGTTACCACATATGTGGTTTTGAGTGTCACATATATACAGCCCGCTCACCTCAGCCCATTCAGAGACCAATTCTTGTATGTATTAATCATATTTTCTTCTGGTTATTGCAGAACAGAAAAATACTCAGTTCCAAATGTTAAAATGGGACACATTTTATTAACATTGAAAGCAGTAAATTATCTCTGCTTATGAAATGAGACTGAGCAATTTCTGCTGAACTCTTCCTGACTTGCCCCTTCACTAGGATACAGTGTTTTCTAATTTCTCAGAGGGCCCTGGTTCCATTAAGGGCGAGAACTGCTTTAAAGCTGTAATGAAAGCCATACGTAGCTGAAATTCAAGGAGGGGAAATGCCCTAAATTCTATTTCAGTAGCTCATCTACAGCTATTTTCAGTTTTATGTTTATAAGAATGTCAATTAACCTAGAGACTAGGACTCACATGGAAGAATAACGATGAAGTGGATATCATTTTAAGACACTGAAGCCAGCTAGTTGGACCTAATCCTTCTTTATAGAAGCTTGATTTACATAAGAAGCTGGCCTGTATTGCCTAATTTAGTTCCCAAACAGCTTGGAGATTTAAATGCTCTTTCCTTTCAATGTCGCAATACAGCACTGGTGAAAGTTGCAGAAATATTAAAACTAAAAAAATAAAAGGAAAACATAAATATGCTGGAAGCACGCTTGATTCCTCTGACATCTTTCAGAACTGGTGATCACTTTGGCATGTATATGGTGATAAGAATAACAGTAGTAATAGCAATACCCTTAATCAAGGTGTAACTGCAATTTGGTATCGTGTCACCTCTTTACCTAGCTTATGCTGAAGTTGGAGGTCCAGGCAACATCAGACCTTCGATGCTACTTTTGCAAGGATGGGAAGTGACTCTGTTGAGGTTAAAAAGAGTGATGGGTGCTACAGGTCTTTCTAATTTAAATTAGAAAGAGTTAGAGCAGTGAATTAGAGCAGTGTTCTTATCTGGAGAAAAACGAAGGAATAAAACCCCATGTATGTGAAATCTGCCTCCGTTGGACAAAAGGTCACACCTCAGTCACACCTCACCAACTTCTTTTATGAGAATTTTTTATAGTAAATATAAGATGCAAAGTCATTACCTAATAACGGTTGATACTTTTTTTGGTTTTGTTTAATATTATATGTATCTGCATGTATTCACCCCCCAACCCTCCAGCCCCCCTTACAATGTCATCACTTCTAGTAATTTTTTTTCTTCTTTTCCTCATTTATTGCATTAGTGCTGCGGGATGACTTCCGCCAGAACCCTACAGATGTTGTGGTGGCAGCTGGAGAGCCTGCCATATTGGAATGCCAGCCACCTCGTGGACACCCTGAGCCTACCATCTTCTGGAAGAAAGATAAAGTCCGTATTGATGACAGGGAAGAGCGGATCAGTGTGAGTACAACTCCAGTGGTTGTCTACAGACACAGGGCCTGCGCTGAAGCCCCACAGCTGAGTGCCGCAGAACTTTACAGCTTTTTAGCCTTTCCCATAGAGATTTGACATTACTCTTGACAGTTTGCCTCTCTGAGCTTTCCCAAATGAGGAGGGGGGGAGGTTATTTGTTCCTTCTGGTTTGGGTCTCCAACTTGAACTTCTTGAGGCTTTGTTTGTATAACCAATGCAATGGAGGTCCATTAGAGCTGTAGATTTGGTCATGTCAGATGTTCTGTTAGATGGGGGAGTCAGTGGATGTCTTTCACCAATTTGGCCTTAGGTTTTCTAAATCTCAGTTCAGTGAAATGAGACTATCAGACCTTATATCAGAGAGGTGTTTTAAAGATATAACCAGTCATACCTATGAGGTACACAAATGCCCCATGGGAAAACCTCGACATCTTAGGATGATATTGGTAATGTTGTACTTAGTGTAGTAATTGGGATGTGTATTCTAAATGAAGGCTGAAGTTATACTCTAGAGAATGATTGTTCCTAAATAGAAATACCTATTGAGTAAATAAATAACATAGGATGGATTCTGTGACAGTTCATTCCATGTACTGGATGAAAAAGGATCCAGCGGAAATACCTACCTTATCAAGTGATTAAAAATTATACCATGGGATGTGCAAGCAAATGGGATTAATTAAGGGTGCGGGGGTATATTTAATTCCTAATATTTAAGTGCTTAGCTTTTCACTCCTAATACTCCTTCAGTGAAGTTTTATGTTGTATGTAATTATATGTAACTCATTCAGTTCTGACCTGATTCAATATGGAACTACTATCAGGGTGCTTGTTTGTTGCTTTGGATGTCTAAGGAAGTATTTCAAGCTAAACAATCTCAGTAGTTGCTATTTGTGGGCCAGGCTGTCTCTGCTTCTACAGTAGAGGAAGGAAGAGTGGCAGGGAACTGGTTATCATTCCCTGACTCAAATTTCTTTGGCTGTATTCCTAGGTTATTCTGAAGCACCCCGTTGTCTAACTTTTAACACTGTCTGTGACTTCACAAGCTGCAAATTTTTTACTTTATTTCTTTCAGCTACCCTGCTTTTTCACTCTATAAGCACCCTTTGTAGCCAGGAAAATGTTGTCTTATAGGAGTCAGATGAATTCTCAGTTTGGGCTAAATTTAGTCTGTCTGCGTCAAGGAAAAGACAAAATCTCTCTTAATCAGTGAACAAGAAAACTGTTCAGACACAGTAAAATAAAATGAACTAAATCTAGCTAAGTAAAATTGTCTTTTTCTTGAGAGAGATGTCAAGAGTGTGTTACATATCACAATGCAGGAAATGCAAGCACTCTGCATTGCCAAGGAGGCAGCAAGAAATGTAATCTAATGTAAAGCATCTAAAGAAAACCAAAGAAAAAAAACTGAAATGCATTTAAAATCAGTCAGTAGAGTAAAATATGTTCTACAACAGCTTAAAGGTATTAAAGTATATAGGATGATAATTTTAAAGCTGTACATATATTTACAAACAGAACTTTTAAATGTCTTTGTTGTGGAACTTGCTGCCTGAGAAGGTAGCTTTTTTTTCTGGTATCTTTTGTTTATCTGAAGTTAAAAATATATTCCTTGTTTTGAAACAGATACGTGGTGGGAAGCTGATGATCTCCAACACAAGAAAAAGTGATGCCGGCATGTACACTTGTGTTGGAACAAACATGGTGGGGGAGCGAGACAGCGATCCGGCAGAGCTCACTGTCTTTGGTAAAGCAACTCAAGATTTTCTTTCCTTTTCATTACAAATGTCATAAACTGAATTGACCTGGGTGACTCATCAAAACATGAGACAAAACAAGGTTAACAAAACAAAATGGTACTGCTTAAGCTGCATTTCACAGTTTCTGGAGAAGACCAGGTTTCAAAGCCTTCCATTTATAATTATGGAGCTGTGATGGCTCAACATTTTCCTTCTAAGTGCATAGTTTCAATCTAATTGGAGGTCCTTAGTGATATGCATACACTCAGAGATGGTAATGCAGGACATAATGCTCTCTCTCACAAAATTGCCAAATGTAATTAAGCTACTTCTAATACAGTTGACAATGCCTGCCTAACAGAGATTTGGACCAGCATTGCCTATTTAAATAATTCCTTATTCCTGTGGGGTTGTGAAATCAAACCTTTGTAGGAGAGCACAAAAGAACTCAATTGATCAGTAAAAAGTCATTGGAGAAAATCATGAGATCAGCTTTTTGAATGTATAGAGATAGTTTTGTCATTTGTTTTTTAAAGGGTGTGAAAGAGCTTTTCATCCTGTAAGTTAGGGCATCATTTAGGTTTTTGGTGCCACTAAATGAATCAAAAATTAATAGGTTTCCTGCGTGAAAGGGCTTCCAGACCTGATGGGCAAAGCAAGTACTTGTTGGGATTGTTTGCCCTATGGTTAGAGTCTAGAGCAAGAATAGAGTAATACTGAACCTAGAGCTGGATCCATCCTGCTAACAACTAGATAAGAAGGAAAGCGGCAAAACCCTACTGTGGTACATCTTGCAGTCATGACATTTCTACTTACCATTAGCTGTGGTTTTGTAGGAATTAGTCAAGAGGTCTTGAGCAAACAAAAGAAAATCAATCAAGAAAAAACCCTCAATGCTAAAGAAAACACATACATACATAGAAAAAAAGAAAGAGAAAGAGTTAGTGTTTCCTCCTGATACCTCTTTGATATCCTTGATATGATACCAAAATTCCAAACCAGACTGCTTGTAATTCCAGTAAGACTTTTCATAGAAATCTGAAGGTCCTTTCTGAAGCAGATGCTCCTAAATTTTTCACCTTCTACCTAGTATGGTGCACTGGAAAGCCCAGTCACACATATTGCTATCTGTGTTTGCATGTATGTGCAACTCAACATTTGTTTGCCCACTTTAAAAAAAATATATTATGGGATTCACAAAAGGCATAGCGAAGTTTCTGCTAGACAAAATCCATGAGTGACAGAGAATTTGCTGCTTTCCAACATTATGACACTGTAAAGCCTTCCACTCCACTTACTTTGTTGTGGATTCATGGAAGCATATGACTTAAAGACAGAACTAGTATACTTTGCAAAAAAACATAGAAAGAGTATCTATCAAATTTTTATGTCCTTTGCAGACAGTCTGTTGAAGTCATGTCTTTATACAGATGTAAAAAAGACATGACATATCTTCTTCATCAGTGTAAGTACTGATAATCTCTGGTAATACTCCCTGTGGATAGCAAGCAGATTGCGGTCCTAAACTACAAAGCCTTAAGAAATCCTTAAGAAAATAATTTGTTAAAAAGCATTGAGCTAGGAATAAAAACTGAAATGTGCATGTAATTTCATATCCTGCAGAGCTACGAAAAGTATTAGTTTTGTCTTGATAGCCAATTACAATACTCTGATTTTTTTTTTTTACAAGATTTATTCAGAGCAATCAACTTATAAAATACAATCTAAGCCTATTTTGAATACTGAAAAAAATCAGCAATAAACTAAATTAGACATTTTAGTTCTTCATAATTGTGTTAGACCACCTAAAGAAAATTTTATTTAAATTTCCTTTCCTATCTGGGTATCTTACTAACTGAAATTCCCCTTCTATGTAGGTATTTCCTTCCTATCTTCTGTTTTTCTGTATAAGAACAGCATGTAGGAAGCAGACATCAGGTTATGTTCTACTCTTTGACAAAACAATTCGACTATCGTGTGCCCATTCTCTGGCTATCACCTGGCCCTGAAGCTCTGTGTTGGTGTATTGGGCTCACTGTATAGACATGTCCAGCTTAGTCCTGGTCTGCTCTGTGCAAAAGAAGGTGGCTTGGCTTTGCCTTCCACCAGCAGAACAGTTGTATTCCATTCCTGGACTTCAGGCAGCAGCTTGTGTGTGGGTGAGTGCGTGCATCAGCGCACTGGAGAGCATTATCCATGATATTTCCAGGAAGCAATGTATCTACTGGACAGTCCAATCAGTCTAAGCATACACAATAAATCCAATAAATCCAGCAATTCTGGGAAATGTCAGATTAGCTGTGCATGTTCAGATAGACTTTACAGAACACAGGCAGAACCATGGGTCATCTGTTAAGTCCACAGCTGTCCTCTAATAGGACTCACAGATTTGAGGAACATGGGAATAGTGCAAACGTTGAGGAAAAATATGCTAAAAATATCGTAATACTGATATATTATTCATGTGCCCAACTTTAACTGTTTGGAACACATTTAAAATAGGCTTTATAATTAAAATTAAGATATCTTAGCTAAGAGACTTGGAGAATTTAATAAAGTGGCTGGCAAGCCTGCAGCTGGTGCTGATTCTGGAGAGGAATGTGTATTAATTAGCTGATTGTTAATGTCTCTATTCCTTTTCCAAATAACAAACCCTCAAATCCTTTCCATAGTGTGAAGGGGGCCTTAATAAACACACTACTCTGTAGGAAAAGGAACTGTTTCATACTAGTTCTCCAATCTTTCCAGGAATCAGCCACTTGTTACTTTTGGCTTTGGAAGTTTTTCGGTAATACCTGAAGTTAATTTCTGCATGTGACTTGTGACAGATCTCTGGCTCCCTGTACAGTAAATTTAGCTTGAGGCATTGCCTCTGGAAAAACTGAGTCAGTGTGGTGGTAACTGGTGGCCCGAGGGGAACAGCATGGAAACCTACCCTAAAAGATTACAACTTTCCTGAGTTTTAAAATAATAATAATAATAAAATGGACAATGAGAATCTTGGAAAGGATTCCCATATGCAGAATGTATCCACTTGGCTGGGTACTCATTCAGTAATCTTTGCTGAGAGATAGTTTTGGATAGTACATGCTAGTTTTTGCCTTTATGAGGCTCCCAATTGTAATCTTGGAGTAAAGCAAGAAGGCAGTGTCTGTCATAGACTCTAAGTTGGCCTTTACAGGAAGTTAATAACTAATCCACCAATCCTAACTTTCACAAAAAGAGGCAGCATGGTACTTTATTGTTATGGATGTGCTATTCTAAAGGCCAAATTCAGAAGTGTAAGTGCTACAAATTAGGCTGGTTTGCTTGTGTTTGGGCTCATAGCCTTTGGCTCAACAAACTTAAAGCAAGATGCAAAACATAAACAATTTCATTCCAATTTGTTTGTGAATGCATAATATGGAGCCAGAAATTAAATAAAGTAAGAATTACTGTTTCAGTTAACCTTTTATTATTTTGTCATACTACTGCACTGTTCTCTGATAAGTTTTCAAGTTGTTTTAACTGTTTCAGACTCCTTTTTGTTCCTTTGGACTTAAAATGGTATGTTTGAAGAGAATGTACAAAGGTATATCTTGTATATTGATTCTGAAGCTCAGTAAAATCAATGAAAGCCTTAATATATCAACTTCAAGAGGCTGGCATCAAACAGTGGAAAAAAGATATATTTAGAAGCGCCTCAAAAGAATATAAAGCATAACTTAGAAGAGCACAAAAATGCTTTAAAATATATGTCAATTCAGACATATTAAATATTGTTTTGGGTTAATCTTTGATTTTAGCTTTAGTACCTGAACCTTTTTTCAGCTAATAAGGTCCTGTGGGATGAAGAGGTATTTTTGTCTGATGCTTGAAGAAGTATTTGTGTTTGATGTTCTCTAGACATTGTCAGGCTGAAAGAGATACCATAGTTCCAGAAAGAGTATACTATGATGACATGATGTTACAGGAAAAAAAATTCCAAAAACCCCTTAATGAAGACATTGTGCCCCACTTTCCTTTCCTGAGCTCTCACTATGTGAAAGGCCTTAGCAGAAAGTCTTGTCCCACTGTATACTGGAAATTAGAAGCTTTCCCAGTCATGTGAAAAACCTACCAAAACTGGGTACATATTCACAGTTCAAGACAGAAAAATTGGCAGTATGTATTTTGTCCTTCAGAGCAAAGCTCCTCCTATTTTTCTTCAAATCCTTCTACTTCCCACTTTCAGTGTACTTGTGGCAGTTTGCATAAATTCATTCTGGCTTTGCAATAATTGTTATCCACAGATACTGGCAAGTTGTAATAGGATAATGATGCTGCTGTGAAAAAGAGTCTGATTTTTCTCTTACTATTGCTCAGTAAAAACTGAAATTAATAGGGCTGTAGATGCATATAAAAGGAGAAAAATGCTAACAATTAAAAAAATCATTCTACGTTATTTGCATGTGCCTCTTAACAGTGCTCCGTGCCTTTACTGTGCAAGCTCGTCGCATCTTGGGTATTATTTAGAGTGCAGAGATTTGCAATGTCTAACACAACTACTTATTTCTCAAATACAAAATGGAAAAGTGACTAAAAAGAGATGGTAGAAGAATGTCTCTACATATAAACCCATCTGCTTTTGTAATTGTATTTTCATTTATTTGGCAAACATAGGTGAATTTGGTGTGATCCTAATATCCTGTCTGCTTCCACATCTTCATTTTTGGCAGAGCGCTTTACTTTATCCTGATCATGTTGCAGTTAATGAAATATCTACACTACTGACAGCATTCTGAAGTGAAACTTACTTCCAACCATGTAATGTTTCTTTTTTTCCTTTACATCAGAACACTACAGTGAAGAAAGCTTTTATTTTTAAACTATTTGCTCTTAAATCCCTCCCCAAAGCCTTTTAATTTGCGTTTTAATACTTCTTTCTAGAACATGAGAACATTTTTAAAAAATAATGCCTTCTCTCCAGCAAAGACAGAGAAAACAGTTCTAAATCAGATTGAGCCTCTACATTACAGGGACCATCAAATCCTTCACTCTAGCAGTTGCCACAGCAGAGAAAATATATTAAGGTAGTTAGGATCATTTTAATTAGATTGAGGTCCCATATATGGCTGTCTAACTTTTTGAGGAACAGAGAAAGGGCAGTAATACATCTGAAGGTCATCTGAGTCTCTATAACAAACTGTGATACTCAGACTGATTGTTAAATAGAGGAAAAATTGAGTTCTCAGGTTAACTTGTGTCAGCACCCAAAGCAAGGAAAGGATTTTCCTGTGTTTCTGGTTAGGATCAGTCCTGTAGGTGTTCTTGCAGCATGTATCTCAAGCACTGCAACAGATTGTAGGTGTGTGTCCAGATTGCATTAACAGTCCCTTTTTATAACTGCAAGCAAAGTTTATTCTGAAGTTATAAAGGTCACCTTAGTAATAGCATGACTGGTTGACATGACATATAACCATGACCTATTTTATAGTTCTCTTCAAAGATTTTTAATATTCATCAGAGAACATCTGGGAAGTGGGTACTTTATTTACTCAGTGAAAGCTTATAAAATAGCTATATTAAAATTTTTATATGTATCTATGATTTTAATTTATTACCCTTTCTTGTTGTTTATCAAATATATTGTGTTCTGAATGCTGTTGACAGAGTAACAATGTTTAATTATACCACAAGGCTTTATTTATGGGCAATCCATATCCAAAGCAAAAAATAAAAAGGTTGTTTCTCAAGTTTAGCTCTGAAACTAAATTTGACCTGGCTGTGTGAAGAAACCTTCTTCATTTAGCATGCTTGGGCAAGCAGCGCTCCGTCTCCTGAGAGATTAACATTGTAAGCAAGTTATACAGGTGACTCAAATCCAGTTAATCTCACATAAAGAATGTTAATTGCATTGGCAATGGCGTTCACTCTGATCACTTTATAGCTGTGTAATTAGCTATTGGACATATTCAAGGGGTTGTCTGAGTGATACAAATACAGGAGACAACATGAGAGATAACTTGTTCTTTCCTGATTCACACTGTGCAAAATGCAGAGATGACTGAAAGACTGAAATAGCCATTATTGGTATTTGCATGCCCTTGCTAACTGGGATCTGTACTTACATAGCTATTTATTTTCTAGCAAATTCTTAACTATTTTGGAAAATACACAGTTTGAAAAGCTGATCTGAAACAAACAACCTTGATGTGGAATCAAATGATTCACCTAATGACCTTTGGGCCATTTACTGTGTTATCAGCTGGGTTGTCCTCAAATGTAATAGGAATTTATTTTCTCATCTCCTGTATAGAAGCATTTACAGCCACAAGTAGCAATTTCATAAATACGCATATGTTAGTTTCTTAGCTGTTTACAGATGGTTTTTATAAACATGGTCTAAAATAATTCTTGTATGCAGACCAAGCCAACATAGACGTACATGCAGAATTATTTAAATTCAGTGTGGATGAACCAGGGTCTCTAAATCACCTATAAGGATGCTAATCTGGATCTGATTTTCTTGATTTAGGATCATCTCTTGAAAAACAAATACCAAAGTGAAGAGTGTATTGCGTATGAGCTCAGAGCAGAGGTTTGTCTGAGCTCTTCTTAGGAGAGAAGTTATGAATAAGATAATGTTGCAAACTTACAGAAAGTTTCATTAAGATATTCCCTTCTAGATCCACATTATTACAGGCAGGCTAAGTGCATTGCTTGCATTAAGGTTAACAACTAATGCTTTTGTTACTTTGTCCAGTTTTAGTAAGTTTGTCAAATTACAAGGCTTTATCCAAAATTCTCCATGTCAAATTGGAAAATTGAGTCTGTGGGGTTTTTTTAATTGCCAAAATAATTAATTCTTCTCCAAGAATGTTGAAGTTCCTGCAGTTCAGAGTTGGCGGGGTAATTGGAAGGAAGTGGGGAAGGATTTGAAGGAGAGTAATGGGGGAAACTTTTTGTCTTGAGAAATGCAGACCTCTCATATTGAATAATAAGGACCTAAAAATTGATGGGAAATAGCTACACTATGCCAGACGTGTAATTTCTTGCTTGTCCCAAAAAATTTCACTACATTTAGCAAATTACAGACCTCTCAAAAAAAAAATAAATCATCAATTCATATGCCAGAGACACCAGGTAGAATGTAGGTCTGAACAACATTTTCCTATAGCTGCATTGCACTCCTGCTGCTGTCACTTTCCTGGTTACATCAGGTTGATTACGTCAACCAATTTTTCTTGTGTTAATATTGTGAACGGGGTCTATCTGGGTGGCACAGAGAAAAGAAGCTCCAGTTCAAGTGTAGTTCAAACACACAGCAGAGAAGAGTCAGTTTGCTGTGAGGTACGAAGAAGTGAGAGCTGTGGATAGTTGGAAGGGAGAATGGACTTGTGACCTTGCTGAGTTCCAGCTGTGAAAAGCAATATTCTGAGCTAGGAGGAGACAAATCGACTAAGGAAGCCGTTGACAGCTGGAAAGAGCTGGCACAGCCAGTGGCTGAAATGGAGAGGGACTTGAGGCACTGTCACAGGCTGGCAAAGACACATAGGTGAGGGTAGGAGCAAACCTAGCTGGAGACTGGAAAAGGTCAGGAAACTACATACACAGGGAAGAAAACATCTGATGAAACACACTCAGGACAAAGAGCTATAGTGAAGGTTATATATGGCTTGTACATAGACTTGAAACAGGGAATAAAGACTGAGATTTCAAGGTGCAGAGAGACTAGAACTGAATTTACTTGCCCAAACACTGCTGGAATCTGCAGGTCCCTGGCAGGATTAGGAATGGAACAAAAGCCATAGCTTGGGAGAAACGGGGAGAAGAATCTCTGCCTTTTAGACATGTTTTTATCTCTAGCACCTGGAAAAGTGCTATAGATTCTTGAGCATGTCTATTCTTCTGCTGACAAAATATGTTTTTCCCAGCCAATAGGTCCCACTGCTAGTATCAAGGAATTCCTATGTGGTGCTGTCACTCATTTACATAATTGTTAACAGGTGGTTTTGTGTTCCTTATTTTCTGTCTTAATATTCTAATTTGTAAAAGTGGTGAACATTTTATCAGCTGCAACTGAATTCAATGGAAGTTGAGCTTTGAACACACAAAAGTAATGCTAAATTCTCAAAAAAAATATGGCGGTTTTGTGTCTCAGGTTGAGCATCAATATTTAGCAGAAATTTTTTACCTTGCTTTCTTAGATCTCCATCACACCTCAGAGAGAAGCTATGAAAATAAGCAAATTGTTTATGAAGCATTAAGATATGTGTAATGGAGGTCATGAGGAAATTAATAATTCTGCCTTTGAAGTGAAGTTTGAGTACTATGACAGGAGGCCACCCACTAAATGGTACAACTAAAGTGAAATATTAAACACCTGCTCATTAAATGAATACCAACAATCTGGAGATGTTTGGGGGAAAACTAGTATGTGATCATATAATTGCAACCAGTCCCATAAGGCATAAACAGAAAGGAAGTGATTAAAGAGCACGCAGACAGCTTTAGTTCTGGCACTGAGGTGCTGCGTGCTTGATTTCGCAACCTTATTAATGTTCTTTTAAAAAAAAAAAAATTGTTATTATTTGGATATAACAAACACAGATAGCCCCCATAAACTCAACTCTGTAGTTATCAAGACAAACTACCTGAGTCAGAATCTGGTATTGCTTACATCTGTGTGAATTTTGAATAATTTCTTAAGTGACATCATACCCTTCAGCTTTCTGAGAATGAAATGTGAAATGTAGTGTGTAACCAGTTTTAAATATCTTTATAATAATTTCCTGTCTTGAGTGGAAATACTGCTTCATATAAACCCAGTCTTATAATGGTTTGGCTCTAGCGTAAATAATTTATGACAATAAAAGTGTGGTATGGCTAGGAGAGGACAGAACAAAATTTATGCAGTCCAAAGGCAACTTAGAAACTAACCCCAGTGACATCCTTTCAAATGAAATTACCGGTACTTTGAGTTTGTACCAGTATAACTGAGATCAGATTGTGGCTCTGCATCTGGATTTTAAGCAGGCCTGTGCAACATTATGATGATTAATAATATTTGTAGCCGTGCAGGCTAACATAACAAGGATAAACAGAACTTATTATTCAGACCTTAATTTAGTTTTCCATGGTGAAGTTAGCAATGGGGATCAGGGAAGCTCTGACCTCTGCACAATAGTCCACAATTGTCTGAGATGCCTAACACGGGGTTTACATTTTTCTCCAAAGCATCAAGATACTGATTATTGCCAAAGGCAGGCTGTCTCCATTGGCAGCTCATGTATCGCTAGAGCAGGCAGGAACTTTTAGATTGTGCTCTGTGTATGCAGAGGTGCAGAGACACTGGAACAGGTTGCCCCATCCCTGGAAGTGTTCAAGGCCAGGCTGGATGGGGCCTTGAGCAACCTGCTGTAGTGGGAGGTGTCCCTGCCCATGGCAGGGGGGTTGGAACTAGATGATCTTTGAGGTCCCTTCCAACCCTAACCATTCTATGATTCTACCTCTCTGCTGACGTGGCAGGTGGGCAGTCAGTGCTAGCACAGGGTTCCTTCTGGTGGCACTCGGCTCTTGCATGAGGCCGGATGCAACAGCCCCTGCCTTTCCTGCCTGGCAGTCATCTTCTAAGCTGTTTGTGCACATCATCAGTTCCACTTGTCTGAATTTGTGGAGCTCAGCCTCCTTTCTTCCTTCTGTGAATCGGTAAACAAAAAGATGCTGAAAAGTCAAAAGTGTTCATTTCAACCCTCTGACTCACTAAGGAATTTTAATGTCTCTTTCAAGAACGGCCCACGTTTCTCAGGCGACCGATTAACCAAGTGGTGCTGGAGGAGGAGGCGGTGGATTTCCGGTGCCAGGTGCAGGGGGATCCCACACCCACAGTCCGGTGGAAGAAAGATGATGCAGACTTACCGAGAGGAAGGTGAGAGCAACATTCATGTTCCCCACACTTTCAAATGCCAATTGTTGATTAATCACTCCCTACTACTTATAGTTTGTTATTTGATGTTATGGCCAAGATTAATTTCCTGTATTGCTGGTCTTTGGCACTACAAAACCTGTTCCCAAGCCAGCTGAGTGTGGAAATCCAGTCTGCGTTGAATTGTCCAGGTAATAGATTCCTGTGGAAGGAGGGAAAGTGAAAAGTGATGTGTAGGTATTGTGAGCACATGGGTATTCACCGAGTTTGCTGGAGAAAGTAAAGATGGTTTAGGAATGTGCTAGTGATAGTAGCTTTCATAATAATGTGTTGATTCCAAAAGGGAGAAAACTTGGCTGGAGAGTAACAGGTTGCCCCATCCCTGGAAGTGTTCAAGGCCAGGCTGGATGGGGCCTTGAGCAACCTGCTGTAGTGGGAGGTGTCCCTGCCCATGGCAGGGGGGTTGGAACTAGATGATCTTTGAGGTCCCTTCCAACCCTAACCATTCTATGATTCTACCTCTCTGCTGACGTGGCAGGTGGGCAGTCAGTGCTAGCACAGGGTTCCTTCTGGTGGCACTCGGCTCTTGCATGAGGCCGGATGCAACAGCCCCTGCCTTTCCTGCCTGGCAGTCATCTTCTAAGCTGTTTGTGCACATCATCAGTTCCACTTGTCTGAATTTGTGGAGCTCAGCCTCCTTTCTTCCTTCTGTGAATCGGTAAACAAAAAGATGCTGAAAAGTCAAAAGTGTTCATTTCAACCCTCTGACTCACTAAGGAATTTTAATGTCTCTTTCAAGAACGGCCCACGTTTCTCAGGCGACCGATTAACCAAGTGGTGCTGGAGGAGGAGGCGGTGGATTTCCGGTGCCAGGTGCAGGGGGATCCCACACCCACAGTCCGGTGGAAGAAAGATGATGCAGACTTACCGAGAGGAAGGTGAGAGCAACATTCATGTTCCCCACACTTTCAAATGCCAATTGTTGATTAATCACTCCCTACTACTTATAGTTTGTTATTTGATGTTATGGCCAAGATTAATTTCCTGTATTGCTGGTCTTTGGCACTACAAAACCTGTTCCCAAGCCAGCTGAGTGTGGAAATCCAGTCTGCGTTGAATTGTCCAGGTAATAGATTCCTGTGGAAGGAGGGAAAGTGAAAAGTGATGTGTAGGTATTGTGAGCACATGGGTATTCACCGAGTTTGCTGGAGAAAGTAAAGATGGTTTAGGAATGTGCTAGTGATAGTAGCTTTCATAATAATGTGTTGATTCCAAAAGGGAGAAAACTTGGCTGGAGAGTTGCAGAGCCACTCCATTGCACTATCGGGATGAATTAGAAGCAGAGCCCTGTGGTTGGCTTTGCTGGCTCCTTGGCTCATGTCTGTTAAGCCTCAGAGAGAAACCTTCCTCTTGAGTAAACAAAAAACCAAGCTAGCAGAAGTGGGAAACAAAGTTGAAATCTGGAATAAGCCCCTTGTGTTCAAGGAAAATTTGTTCAGTCTGGAACAAATGTGGAGAAAATTCCAGAATGAGCAGGGGATGAGAGTCTGTCCTATAAAAGGACATTCAATTAGCTTGGCTCATTTCAGCTAACAGAACAAGAGTTTGGTCCTCACTTTGTGGATCTCTTTCTAGTTTTGATGCTGAATCATTATTAGATTAAAAAATCTCAACACAGAAATATTTCTGGAAGGAAATGAGAACCGAGGTCTCCATAACCCAACCAATTCTTCTGGCCCTGTGAGTCCTGATTAATTTTTGCACAGTGCTTTTAATTTCAATAAGAGACATGAATAGTGCCACCTTTTTTTTTTCCCCACTGTTTCCCAGAACAGTTGATTGTTGTTTTCCATCACTGTTGGTTATTCCTGGGATGTTGCTGATGGAATTTGAAGAAAGGGAAAAAAACCCAAACCAATGTAAATTTTCTGTTCTTCAAACAAATGTTTTAAACACTGGACTTAAGTAGGCGGGCTGGCAGTGTTATTTCTGCTTCTCCAATCATGATCTGAAAAAAAGAGTAGCTGCAATGGTGTTTGTGGCTAGTTTATGTCAGTGTATATTAAGTGTGCTGTGAGCACAATACTAGACTAACAAAACAAGTTAGACATTACTGTCTGCTTTCTTCATCACAGCATGCTGCATCTTCAACCCAACATGGTGAAAAATATGGTAAGACTGTTATCTGGCAGTCTTCAACCACTTGCTAAATATGGTGTTTATTGTCGCATACACTTCTATGAAAACCAGTGGCAAAACTCCTCAGAGTCATACAGCACAGTCATGTTTGCATCTTGGGTTAATATCTTTTGTTTCTCAATCTCTAAATCTTTAAGAAAATCCCCACACTCAAATTGGAGAATACCTATTTTAGTTTCCACATCCTCAACTCTTTAAGATGTCTTACAATTCTTTGGTTAAATATAATGATATATAATCTAGAAAAAACGTTTCTATATGAGTATAGATACGTATGTATATATACAGAAATACTTAAATTTTAAAATTTATTTCCTTGCAAATTAAAAAATTATATAGCTTTTTTGCTAATTATATTGGTCAATGTGTATGCATGTAATACATAAAATATTATTTTGAAGAGCAGACTTGTGGATGGCAGGAAGAATTTTTCTCTTTGCTTCCTATTTAACTATGCATTGCAGAGTAGTCCTTAGTAAATACATTGTCCTTCTGTGATTTATTCTTACTGTTGTGCTACTTCTGTTGTTTTAAATCCTGTCTGCTTCTAGGTCTCATAAGCAGAAGTAATATATGACAAACAAACATTGTCTTTGATTAGGTTGTGCTTTTATTAAGGTTTTTCTAATTACTATGTTCCTTCTTTTTCTTTTATATCTTACTGTGAAAAACATAGTACTATATCCTTTGAGGTAATTTTTTTCTGTTCATTCATGATGTATTTCAAAGGAAGAAGAAATGTAACAGGAAGCATAGGAAAAGAAGGTTTATCAGATACATTCTGATCATAATCAAGTTCAGGCTCAGAATCTACTCACAATGTTTTGCAGTGTTCTTACAGTGCTCTTTAACATTTCATAATTGTGTTCTGACATTTTAAAGCAGAATGTGGGCGTAAGTCTTCATTTATGTCTGCTTCCCAGAACATCAGAGGGGTTGGTAAAGAAGGGGCAAGGTTACAGAATCTCAGGCTGGAGACCCCCTTGGGTGATAGAGGACTACAATTGCCCCTGTCCTGTAGTGGGTTACCACGACCTGAGCCACGTGGATTTTGGTCATCTAGTAGAGTCTAACGTCCACACTTCAAAAACAAATACCTCTGATGATTTGGACTGTTTTCTGTTCAAAAATGTATCATTTGTATAGCAAGATACGTGAGCAGAGTCTTTACTGTCCAAAAAGGGAAAATTTCCAAGCCGTGATGCATGATGCTTTATGAAGGAGGATAAACTTGGAACATTTAAAAGAAAAGTTGTTTTTTTTCTGGATTTTTTAGTGCAAGCAAAGAAATTTGCCCAGGTATGGTCTGCATGAATGGAAGGATGAGAAAATTATAATTTAGCAATTTTATAAATTAAGAAAATAATTTCTAAGTCTTTCCTCCTTGATACAGTGGGAGATTTATTGGGATTATTTTTTTTCTTTTTTGAGGTAGAACTGAAATTAGCTTTCAGCGTATGAACTCCTGTATTTTAAGCATTTTAACATCTACAGTGATATACGAAACCCTCAATGAATTCTCTTTGTTATTCTTCCTGCATGCATAAATCCTTCTTCTGAGCAGATCTGTGTAGCTATTGGTCTTACAGCTTTCAATATCAATTTCCTGTTTCTACAGCTAACAACGTTCTTTGCACATCTGCCTGTTTTTGTTTTTCAAATAATTTATTTTTGGCTTCATCCCTAGATTACAAGACAATTACAATAGGTATCTGTTTCAACAATTGCTGCAAATTTTTAAATGTATCTATTGTTAGTTCAGCTTTCAAAAGTGTCTAGTTCAGTGATAGCAAAGTGTGATAAACTGAATTTTTATATGCATTTGGTCTCTGTAATTTGCTCCTGGTGAATGCCAGAATCAGTGATACTGGATTCATAGTCTTTCAGAAATCCTTCTCTGTTTTTCCATCTTACTTCCTTTTACCTTTTTTAGTGACATGTGAAAGCAAAGAGAAAAGTAATCACAGTAATTTCTAGTGACAAATATAAACAGTATTGCTGCACCGATTGGTGTGTTGAGTAATAATTGGAAAATAATTTCAGGCTGTTACAGTTTTAATTATAAAGGTCCCTAGTGAACTGTAAGCATCTCCAGTTGCAATTGGATTGAATGAGAAAAAAAAGCAAGTTCTAAAGAAATTATTATGTTTGAAAATATGACTATTTTAAAAAAATAATGTGTCCATTTTGTTGAATTGTCTATGTAATTAACCAGAAATTTATGAATAACTATGCTTTATAACTGAAAACAGATGGACTTAAGGCTTCATTCCAGGTTTTAGCTATTTTGAATTGATGATCCAAAACAACTATGATAGTCTATATTTTGAACTTAAAATCTAAAAGTGGTTCTTATGGTGGAAGTTTTCAAAATGGCAAGGAAAAATAGGTCTCACTAGCAGTGAAAGGAGGTTTCTTGTCCAACAACCTCTGGACGTGACTTTTCAAGGTCACATGTTATACAAGGTTTCAAGGTCTGTGTTATACATTATGGAGCTCTTCTGTGTATGGCTGGGCAGGCAGTAAGAAGGACCAGGTGGAAACAGTGTTGTGACTCATGTATGCTAACCGTTTTCATAGTTCTTTTACACTGTTCTGATAAGGAATGAATTAAATTCTTCAGACTTGAAACTTCTTTTTATAACCTAAACCAATCTCAGCAAATTAATAACTTGCTATTAAAAATGTTGATACCGTGCCAACAGGGAGAAACAAAGTAAAATGTGAAGTCATGGGTGTGCAAAGCTTTTTTTCCAGAAGCTGTTCATTTTGAATCAGTGACCCAAGACTGAAACGCGTTGTGA